GGCCCGGCGCAGCAGGCCCTGGTTCTCCCGGAGGGTGAAGTAGCTCGTTGCCTGGGTGACTGCCGGCCCCGCGGTTTCGCCCTGCGTCGTCCTGGGAGCTTCTCTTAAAAACCAAACGGTGATCCTTAGGATTTGCTTTCACTTTCTGCTGTAAATCTGTAGAATGCTGTAGGATATGATACGATACGCAGCAGGTTGATGTTAAATATTTTACTCCCCGCTGCCTGCCCGGGAGATGCTTTTTTCCTTTTCTTGTTTCTCCTTTTTTATCCAGTGACACGTAGCCTGCTTTCTGATTAGCGCTGTAGCGCCTTACCCAGGGCTGAGTTAGCGTTACATGTTCTCTGTGCTTGACAGATCCCATCTCCAAGGTCCTGCCAACCGAATGGAGCCAGTGAAGAAGCCCTGCGGCATGAAATCCAAGAGCTGAAGCAGAAGGACCTTGCTCTAGACCAGGAAATCGCACAATTATTGGCCGAGTACGTCCTTGGCAAGCTCCTCATTTTCCGAGCCTCAATTATTTTTGGTTTTAAACCAAATCATGGTCCAGGGGTTAGAGCTAAAAGCTGACCTCTCACAGTGCCATTTTTTCATGGTACTCTACAGTACTGATTATGGTGTTGCTTTGAATGATGGGATCTGTTAAAGACCAGGGAATTCTTTCCAGTTGATTTGCTAAATCAAACCAAGTTTTGCGAGCAGCTTGGGTAAGAGGATTTGAACTTTACCCCAGATGTTGCTGAGGTAATTATGTGTAAACTGGGAATGAATAATTAACCCACGTGATACTACAACACGTCCTGCTACCGGAAGAGCTTGTTCATGTGACAATTAAAAATTGAGACTGTGACTTGTATGACCTGCCAAATTTAGTCCCAGATAAAACTGGTTCCTTTTTTTGTTCATCTTGATCAAGTGTTCATTTGTTTTGTGTCTGAGACAAGTGGGTTATTCCCGCTCAAGAAGCAGGGGTGTTTTCCAGGCAGTAGAACACTTTGGCGTGATGGGTAGCGCAACTGTTTTATCGTGGTTTTCTTATGACAAGCTGTGGCAGCTGCTTATTATCAACTGTTTTGAGAGAAAACTGCCACTTGTATTCGTTGCAAGGCAGTGATACTCTCAGATAATGTGTAGTTCATAGAATGGAGGTGGTCGAATGATAAAGGCTGTTGCAAAAGCTTTTTTGTGTTATCCTCAAGGATAAACAGACTTTCCGCCCCGCCCCCAGCTACAGATGAGAGATACATATAAATTGAATTCACCATTCACCAAGCCTATTCCTGCTTCTACCTGATTCTGAGAATTCAGGTGGATTGGGTTGGTTTTTGATAAGTCTTGATGTGGCAAAAAAAGCTCAAAATGAGGATCCTCTCATTTGTGCAGCTTTCATGATTATTGACTTGCGGCAACCCTTCTTGCTGCCTTCAGATTCTGCTTCTGGCATGCCAAGCCGGGGTCTCTCACATGTCCCTGCTCTGCCTGGTCGGCGCTGGCAGCGCTCGCTGCGCGGCTGCAGCGATCCCTCTGTGTCATTTCTGACCTTTCTGCTCTTATTGCTCCAGGGGCTACAGCCTGGAGGAACTGGAGAAGCACATCTCCCTGCTCCATGAGTATAACGATATTAAAGATGCTGGGCAGATGCTGCTGGGCAAGCTGGGTAAGGAAGGGGAAAGCTGTTGAAGAACTTGTTAGTCGGTGTTTTCTCATCGACAGGGAGAAGCTGCTACGCCGTGGAGGCAGAGCTCGTTTTAAAGACTCTTCAATTCTGGGCTTACATTACCTGGAATTGGATTACTTAAACCTAGGATATATTACTTGTGTCACTTGTGCAAGCACAAACACTTCTGTCATTATTTTCTCGGGATGTTTTTAGAACTGAACCTGTGAAATAACTGTCATTTACTGGTACTTTAGCCTGTGTTACCGAAATTTGTTAAGTCTTACTAATCATTGTCAGTTTTGTTCTTCATATGCTTAAAAAAAGTGTTGAGAGCAGTGGCGAGCATAGCTGCAAAAGCTTAGGTTTCTTAGTTGTGGGGGGTTCTATGGGGCAGTTGGGGCTACTGGGAGGAAAACACAATTTTTCTGACCGACCTGATCTTTGTTTAATGAAAGCAGTGGTATTTCTTTTCTTTTTCCAGCTGTTATCCGAGGGGTTACGACCAAGCAGCTCTACCCCGAATACGACCTGGAGCTTAGCGACTAGTGTGGAACCTGGAGACTGCCACGTCCTGCAGAAGTGACTGTTGCTGGGTCGTTGTGCTTTGGTGTCATGGCGGTTTAGAACTGACAGAAGGTGGCCTCGGGAGCACGTGGAATTGCAGTGGTGATGGGTTGAAAGCCTTGTTTCTAAGAAGCTCTGCAACATGGAAGTTGTTGAGTCTATCAGCTGTTTGCTGCCTGTGGGAAGGGGGTAGAGGACTTCGGATAATTCCATCTGCTACCTGATCCACTGTTTGGTTTTCTTTTTTCCTGGAAAGGTGGCAATTCAGGTTGGTGTTAAGACTCTTCCCACGGAGCCTGTGCTTCTCTACAACATCCAGAGGCTATTTGGATACTGAATAGGTAGAGGAGGTGAGGGCATACGAATGTGCAACGTAATAGCTGCTTTGAAAGAGAAGGAACCCTCAGAAGTAGGGAGGGAAGAAGGTTGAAGTTGTGGTTTGGGGGGTTTGTTTTGTTTTTACAGTCAAATCTGGCTAAGTCTGGGTGTTCCGTGTTTTTGTACTTAACTGCTCTGGTATCTAGAGGTTTTGTATTATTTCTGTAGTAAATGGAAAAATGTGAAGTTGTGTTGAACTGCCCAGTCTGAATAAAGCAGCTATCACATTTCCCAGTAATTCACCCCAAGAGCCTATAAAACACTGCTCAAACTGTGTTCTGAGACAACTGTAACACCTGTTATCCCAGTGCTTCCCGAGGACTCTTAGTGGAGACGCTGCGGCAGCGCTGCGCAGCGACGGGGAGGTGTGGATGTCCCTTTACTCCTGTCGGCACGGAGTCGCTGTCAGACGAGCGGTGTCCTGGACACGGAATGGGTGTTTCGCTGTCAGGTGTTAGGGCTGAGGGTGACTCTGCAGACTAAATTTGGCCGCATGCAGTGCAGCGTGATGAAGTGCTTTGACTGCAGATCCATCGGCCCTTTGTCACTCAAGCTTGATGTCCTTCTGCCCATTTCTGCTTCTAAGACCTTCTTGCTGCTAAGTTTCCCTCCCCCCCGGTCTCCAGTCGGGCCTATGCTGCGGTCTGCTCGTTATTTCCAAATTTGAGGCAATGAAACAGGGGGTTTTTTAGTGTTTGGAAGTCAGAAACTGCTCACAAAGGCTGCTGCTGAGAACAGGGAATGGGTTTTGTGCTCTCTGCTCTGGACCCGGCGCAGAAATGTCACTATCCTCTTGTTTTGCCGCAGAAGCCCTGGGAGGGGCTACGTAACCTGCGTTCTGTGGTTCCTTCAGGCCCTGCTGCGGTGCAGCTGCCCTTCTCTGGGTGATATTCGCTGCAGCCACCTAAGAATAGACTCTCGGGGTATCGTTACCGCTGTACCCTCCCCACCATCAAGTGTGGAAAATCCCTGCGTTCTGAAGTAGTTTTAAGGGGAAGAAAAGAGTCCCAAGGAGGCTAGAGCTGGGAAACACTAACTTGGTTCTCAAAACCCACGTTGCTGTTTTCTGTGTTTAGCCTGGAGCGTTCCAACCAAACTTAGGCTGGCAATGGCACGCGCAGCTGGGAATGGTTTTTGCAATGGGAAGCATGTACGGAAATTCCAACAGTTTGTAAGCCATGGGGTAGGAGTATACGCCGCTACTGAAGGTTATTTAAGGACTGGGAGGTCCATGTTTCTTCTCCTCCTTACAGGAGCACTAGGATTAAAACTTGCAGCTGCAGCCCTACAAGTGTCCCACCCGGCTCCAGAACTCACGCTTCCGTGGTGATGGATTCACACTTCGCTGAGCACGAGACAGTTGTCCCAGGAAGGTGCCCTGACCCCTGTCACGGTGACAAGGGACCCGTGCAGAGAGCTGAAGTACGAGCAGCCTGTCCTTGGGGAGTCCCTGCGGCTCTGCCGCTGGCAGGGGAAGGTGCCACGGGGTGGCAGCTCCGCTCTGCTGCTGTTCCGTGCAGAGCAGGGAAACCTAGAACAACGGAAACATTCCAGAGTCCAAGTTAATGACTCCTGGGGTGCTTCAGGACAGGACTAGACTGCTACTTTGGTACTTCATCATGGCCCTCTTACTGCCCCTCCCAGAGTTACTTGTTGTTCCTTAACGTCTGTTGTCTGGAAGATGAAATATGATGGCCTTTGTCCAAATCCAGACGAGGTTTAGAACAAATCTTCTGCTTTCTATAAGTAGATCTCCAAACTTGCCAGCTAAGTGCAGAGCTGGAAAAATACGGAGTGCAATAATGGCAAGTTGAGATTTTTAATTTGCATCTAGAAAGTGTATTTCTAAGTCAGGCCCGGTTCTGACAAGTTAGCGGAGAACAAGCGGTGTTACAGAGCTTCACTGAAGGGCAGCATATGCTGTCTGCGTGGAGCTGCTGCACAGCAGGACACCACAGGCTCCCGAGCACCCTCGGCTCCTCTCCAGAAGGAAAAAAAGGCAAAACAAAACCCACAACCCAGCATGGTCCTTTTTAATGAGTCCGTGTACTCACAGATGGGTACGGAGCCAACAACCAGCCTCTTCCCCTTTAGGTCACTCCTCCGTTTTATCGTGTCTCTCACGCATCAGTCCCTACTACAAGCCGTTTTCCCCATCACGTGCCTACTCTGGATATAGCATTTCCTTGCATTGCTTCGTGGAGCTGTGATTCCTCCTGCACATCCCTCCCTTCCTCTCAGTCTGAGCTTTTACGTGTCTGAAAGCAGGGCTAATGGACAGACAATAGGAGAACAGAGGGAAAATGAAATTCGTGTAGTGGATGTTACGCTGCCAGTTGCAAGGCACAAACAGATCCGTGCCATCGGGAATACAGACAGCGTCGTACAGAATGTATTTCCTGCTGCTAAACAATCTGGGGATGGGTTTTCGTATCCCTCAGCAACCTCACGTTCCCAAAGTCAACAGGAATTTTGGCACAGCTAGCTCCTCTTAATGAACCGTTTGCCAGGCTTTAAAAAACAATACGCTGGGAAAAAAAAACGTCTCTGATTAAAGTCATCTCGGGGACAGGGTGGAAGTGAACTGCGATTAACCTCTTCCCTTCTGCTGCCCATCACGCCGTCAGCGCCTGGCTGCGTCACTGTGCTGCAGATTGCTCGTGGACATTCCCCCCGCCGGCAGCGCGCTCAGCTGTCGGCTGTGCGGGCCATCTCCGCCATATGAGGAAGACTGTTATCCTGATGGCCTAGTGTTTTCTCTAACTCCGCTTCCACTTTCGGCTGACAGTCCCGGATGGCGTCCCGCACGCTCTGCAGGTTCCAGTGGCTTCGCAGCAGAGCATCGTCCAGCGTGAAGACGCCGTCGCGTGTTCTTCGCACTTGGGTGCACACGGCCGACGATTTCAGCTCCAGCCCGATCTCGTGGACTATTTTTCGGAGGTACTGCTGAGTCTCATGCAGGCAGTGGATTTCTAGAAGGACAGAGAGATTCCCTCAGAAGCAGCAAAGGGCTGACACAAAACCAGGCCTTGTCTGTAAACCCAGACATCGCTCACAGTTACGCCGAAACAACCGGTTTGGCAGAAGAGGCAATTTAAGATACGCGGGTGGATTATGATTTTCTGGAACACGGCAGGGTGTCCTAGCCCCTCCCAAAGTTTTAGAAAACAAGCTCATAGGTACAGAAATGTAGGTATTTCCAAGTAAGCAAGAAAAAGCACCTTCTTAACGAGCGAAGTAATTTGTGAGGAGACTGGCTGCAGGAAAGGGCATCGCTACAGGCTT